CCTTTTCCAGATCTGAAAATGATACAATTACTTAACTGTGAAAGTGGCTGGGAAGCGCATAGGCCCACTTGAGCTGTCACTTGGGGCTGGGGAGAGGGATCCCCGGATTGGGGTTAAAAGGTAATGGTGAGAAAGAACAAAGTTGTTTTCTCCTTGTACCCTAAGGAGCCTGGGTCGCATAGTAAATCCATTACACCAGGTATATGTTATCTTTCCTTCCTCGCCAAATATCCTGTAGGGCTCATTAGAGGGCCTCTCTTTCCCCTTGGATCCTGAAATCCCTTTAACTTGTATGGCATGCCGGCTGGGGCTGTATGACATATTGTCATCTCAGTTGCTCTCAGCCTAATTCACCTTTGTGAGAACTGCCAGTCTGGCATGAAGGAGGCTGCCAGGCCTAACTCACTCACCAAACATAATGGCACACGCGGTAGCAGGAAAACACGGAGAACCAGCTGGTGAAGACCAGATTCTAGCCCCAGCTTTGTAACTAACTTAGGTGGCTTTAGATAAATTACTTAACCCCTCTGGACCCCGGTTTCATCCTCACACAGGTGAGAGGTCACATCAACTCCAGCTTTGAAATTCTACTTTTGACATGTTTTGAGTTTTCTTCCCTTCGTCTAGCTTAAATCTTGAGTCGCTAGGAGATAAAAGTTAATACCAAGTCCCACAATATTTACACCTAATATGTACCAGGTGTCTTCACAGATGTCAGCATATGAATCTTCCAGCAGGTATTATTACCCCTAATTGAGACGCAATTTAAGAACAGACTGAAGGCCACAGAGTAGAAGATGTTTGCTCACTGCCATTGAATTAACAAGAGACATAACAGTGGTTTGAATCCAGGCCTTCTGATTCCAAGGTCAGTGCTCTTTCTACCCACAGCTTTTGTTAACTTACAGATTATTTGACTTATTTAATAGGGTTCTCAGTCTGGGCTTGAAGCCGAGAGGGAGGTAATGAGTCCTACTCGTTTTCAACTCCTGCAAAACACATCCTCCCGGATACACACTCATCTCTTCTTTTGACTGAGGGAGGAAAAGACGGGAGAGAGAAGGAGGAGGAATGAGAATGATGTGTGATGCTCTCAAGTGGGAGTAGGTAACTAAGACTCACAGAAGTACAGCCTTCTTTTCTAACCCCATCATCTGGCTTCCACATCATTCATCCACACCTGAGACGGCCAATCCTGAGCCAAAAAATATCATTCAGTAAATATCATTCGTGCATCAGTGTTCATCGCTAGTACTCCTTGACCTTGGTACTATATCCCAGGCCCTGGTTCTGTATACCAGTTACTATACACCTTGCCCTATATACCAAGCAGTCATGGGACTGCTTGGAGGCTGGGACATAGAGAAGCAGAAAGGAACAGAGAGAAAACAGTGAAATAGTACACTTGGCCCCCTCTCTCTGACCGTTAGGATTCCCTTTTCTGCTTTGAGCCAGAACTAGAGTGTCCCCCGGTCCCCACCCCGGAGCACTCACCGTCTGTGACCCACTGTCCTTTTCTGGATTTTGAGCTGCTTTGAGTGCAGGCAGGGAGCTATCAGAGGGAAAAATAATGGCAAACTCACCACCAGGACAGTGGTATTTTGAATCCCTGTCTTTCCCCACCCCGTCCACCTGCTACTGTTTACTTTTCCAAGTTCTCAAATACCTGCTCCCCACAAGCAGTGGGAGAGATAGAGCTGTTCCAGTCTGAGTCAAGAAAAGGGGCTTTCACACTCCCCCACCCTCATTTATTGGCTAAGGGCCATGGGATCGGGGGGTTAAATGGCCAGCCACTTTCAGCTCTTCCAGTCATGGGGAAAAGGGGTTTCCATAGCCTGGAAGCAGCCGTGTAAAGAGAGAGAAAACATTGAAGGGAGGGTGCAGAACCCATCAAAAGAGACCTGAGAGAGTCTTGGAGGAGCGCCAAGATCATCTACCGCAGGGGCATGCCCAGGTTGGGCAGATCCCAGAACCGACCATGACCAGGTGACCCAAGAACACTCGAGGTGCTCATCTAGGAGTGAGGGGTGGGGCCGCCCGATCTGTTCCATCCACTCCTGACACCACGATTGTGACTTAATTGTGTTTCATGTCCACCTTCGGGTTGAACGAAGATGAAATGCCTGCAAAGAGCTTTCAATTTCTGCGGTAAAATAATTTAGAAGCCCCTCTGGCTTTTAAAGCAATTATTGCTGGATCGAATGTTTCTCAGGAGACTCCTGCTATTTCTTAGAGCCCTTTGCTCAGTGCTTCCTCTCGTCTCCTTTTATCGACGCATCCCCGACTGTCCGAGCTGCTGTCAAACTTGCTTCCTGGACGTTTGCTATTTAGCTGTGTTCCCCTCCACATGCGTGTGGGTTCTATTTGGATGGGGGGAAGATAGCCTTCCTGGTGGTGTCACGTGGTAATTCGAATGCTGTACCACAGAGGAAAACCCCTGGTAAAGAGGGCCTGGCAGGCCTGGTGTGAGATCAATGTTGAGACACGTGAGGTCATGACCTTACCGCACGCAAACCACTGAGTGGTGTTGAGAAAGACTGGAGTGACCCCTTCCTACAATACGGTGACTTCCGATCTCCCATTTGCCTGTAATTTTTTGCTTGGTTTGGTTTCGGTTCTGGTCTGGTGTTTGTACCAACACAAATCCAGAGGACAGCCATTCTTCAGAAATATCCGTAAAAGCCAGCTTTGCAGTCCAAAGGTCCATCTTGATTCCAGCTTTCTGCGGCTTATGAGGGCTGAAGTGTGGAGTATTTATTTTCTTTCCAGACATGGAAACACAGTTCCAATCTGCTCAGGCAAAATGGAGAAGCCAAGAATGAGGCCGAGTAACCTTGTGGAAAGGGCAGGAGGCACGCAGCCAGGCTCCGCACGGTCGAATCAGGGACCAAGGAGCTGCCAGGTTCTAGCTCCTATTCTTGTTTCTACTCTGTTTCTCTGCTCCTTGATTCAATCCTCTGTCATGGCAGACCTGCTTCCTCCCAAGCTGGTGAAGAGGGTTGCTGATGGATCGTAGGTTTCCCATTGGAGACAGAGCGACTTCCTTTACTGGTTCCAGGATGAAAAATTCCAGAAAAGTCTTTGATTCTCCCATCTTGTATGTCAGGGCTTGCCCCTCCTCCACCCCGGACAAGTCAACTGGGGAGATGAGGTTCGTGGAAGAACATGGAAGCTCCCGAGGTAGAGGTGTGGGTGGGGAAGGGCAAACCATTCTTTCATCCATCCATCTATCCATTCATCCATCCATTCAACAGATTTTTGTTGAGCAAAACATGGAGACTGAATGAGGAGCCAGAGTCCTCACTGGCTGGGGAGAGGTGGCCCAGAAGTCGGTAGATGAAGGTGAAGAAATAAGGGAAAAGGGCACCTCGTGCTCAGCAAGGCACCAGAGGTAAAAAGAAACGAGGCGCTTGTGCCAGAATGTTACTCAACTGCTCCTCCGCAACGGAGTTCTGCTGTGGAAAAAGTGCCAGTCCAGCCACACAGTGCACTTAGAAATGTAGTTGTTTCATGTTCTGGTGCAAGTCCCTTAACTCACCGTAAGGCAATGGCAGTCTGGGCGCCAGCAGCGGGTCTGCGGATCATGCCCTGAGTAGCTGTGCCCTCGGGAATTCTTACACATGTTCCATAGGAGCCATGTACAAGAATGCTCCTAACAGCTTTGTTTATAATAACCAAAAAAGGTAACAACCCAGATGTCCATGAACAATAGAATAGAGAAGTAACTGTGCTGTGATCAGACAATGGAATCCTATGTAGCAGACACAATGAATAAACTCTTGCTACATATATCAGCATGGACGAATTTCAAAAATACCGCGGAACATAAAGAGCAGAAAGACTATAATTACTGAGTATTCAGAGGCGCATGGGTGGCTCAGTCGGTTGAGTGTCCAACTTCGGCTCAGGTCATGATCTCGTGGTTTGTGAGTTCGAGCCCTGCGGTGGGCCCTGAGCTGACAGCTGAGAGCCTGGAGCCTGCTTCAGATTGTGTCTCCTTCTCTCTCTGCCCCTCCCCTCCTCGCTCTCTGTCTCTCTGTCTCTCTGTCTCTCTCTCATAAATATAAACATTAAAAAAATTTTTAATTTTTTAAAAATTAGTATAGATTCATCATATGAACTTCAAAAGGCACCATTAAGTAGTATAGTGGTAATATAGTAATATAGTGGTTAGGGATCCATTATAAATGGATTAAAACTGGGAAGAAAAGCAAGGGAGTGAACAACACATGTGTGGGGTCAGTGGCTTGCCCGGAGTGGGTGGGGGTGGAGAGCCAATTGGGAAGGAGCGAGTACACAAAGGGTGTCAAGGTATCGGCCATATTCGAATTCCTTGAGTTGGGTGGTATTGTGTGGGTGCCCAGCTTTATTTGTATTCTTTGAACTGTACATATATGTCAGGCACACTTTTTTTGTAAGGACCATTTATTTCACAGTGAAAATATTAAAAAAATATATTTAGTCAAAGCCAAATTTTCCTCCCCTCCCCAGGCCAAAAAGGTTGAAGTTAGTGCAGACGAATGGTATGAGCCTCAGAGGAAGGAGGGAGGACTTTTCCAAATATGGTGCCTTGAAGATCTAGCATGGCGTCAGTGAGAGAAGAGAAGGGTAAGCGACTCCCTGCCCACCAGCCCTGGGTACCAGCCGCTGGACTGACGTGTCCTGCCACGCCTGCTCGCACGGCCCTGGGACCTCCCCTTGCCCACCTTCTATGCCTTTCTTCCCACACCACAATCCTCAGGATTTAGCCTGTTTGGCTTTTCTTTTCCAAGCTGTCAGGGCATATTCCATTGCTTGCTGCTTTCCCACAGCTGCCCGCTGAGTAGGACTCAACAATCCTAACTTTTCCAATTTTTTGACCCCCCTGCCCCCCAAACAAGGGCACAGATCCATTGGGAGGTGAAAGTGTGAGAGCATGTTGGATGGTGTAGAAATCTTTTCTAACACCACTTCCAAAGTTCGTTCACTCACTATCTGATTACCTTTTTAGGGAAGGTTTATCATTTGCCGGCTGAAGTTTATTTTAAATTCTGTCTGGTTTGCAAACACATTCTTTGTCGACAGCTCTGGTTTGAAATGTTTGGGCACACTTTGCTCTGGGTAAAACACCGTTGTCAAGTCTCTTTTAAACCGCTTTTGTTAGATGGTCTTTCTGGCCCCGCACGTTGGCATCCAGTAACCTTAGAGACATAGAAACTTTGAGTTAGAAGGGACCCTGGAAGTCCCCCATCCAACTTCCCACCCCATGAAAGAATTTTCCTGAAACATTCTCTGCTCACCAGCCTCTGAGAGCTTGCTTTTTAAGGGCCTTGCTGGAGGGACACAGAGTCCCCTTACAGGTTACAAACTCGCTGTAAAACTTTGCATCCGTTTTCACTTTGTCATCAAGAATCAGTAGTCAGCACCAGCAAGTCCAAGTTTGCTAATGGAATTAAAATGAACGCGGACTCACAAAACCAGTTCCAGAGGTCCAGCGGGCCCTACATTGGTCAAAGACACCTTTAATCTGCTTCATATAATCATATCCTGGATTAGGAGGGACTGAGGAACAACAGAGAAACTGGATCTATCCACACACTTGGAAATAGGGCAGGGAAGCCAGGGGGATTTGGCGAATCGCTTGAGAGTCCTGTGTGCACACTCTCCTCTGTCCCTTTGTCTCTGCTTTCTTGCCTCCTTAAAGGTACAGAAACAAATGTAGGTGGTGCCTTTCCTCCAAGAGCCCCTGCTGAGGGGCGCGGGTCTGCTCTGTCTCCTGAGTCGCTGGCTGCCTTTTCCCATTAAGCTCGGCCCACCCCAGTTTCTGAGCCCACCCAGAGACGGTGTGATGTGTGTGGATAGTTGCCTTTTCCACCTGTCTCCCCACCTTTTGTTCTGCTCTGCTAGAGCTTGGAAGCAAGCCATGACCCCGGCTGCCACCATAGTTAAATGGGTTTGGGCCCTGAGCCATGCTGGGACGTTGATGGCACGGGTCCTTCAGGGTGAGGGAAGGAAGCCAGCCTGGAAAAGGCTGGAATTAACTAATGGAACAGAAGGGTTGTTCCATGCCAGAACCCCTATCTTACACAAGCTGGTGAATTTCTGGGCTAAAGAAGGGAGCTGAAGATGCTCCTTAAGAATTGGGGATGGGAAGTCCAGGCACGGGAGGGCAGGGGACAGTTAAGGGTGCGGACCCAGTCATGCATGCAAGATGCACTGGGCCCGAGGAGCTCAGGCAAGGTTGAGAAATGGTGCGTGAGTCCTGATGGGTGGAGCAGGGCCTTTGCCAAAGGAGGTTCACAGACCCGGGGACACCGGAGGAGCCTTCACAGCAGGATGTCGCTGGCAGAGCCCAAGTGGGCGGGAATTCAGGGACAGGGGTCAGCCCATGCCGCAGGGGCAGACTACAGCCAGGCAGGAGGTCAGGGCCCCAACCTGATGGTTAGGGAGGCCAGCGTGCCCCAACAGGGAACCAGAGGCTCCTGCCGTGTTGGCACCAGTGGCATACTGGGCCTAGATACTGGCATGGCGCTGATGCGTTAACAGACCTGCCTGGGGCCTGTCCGAGGAGGCAGGGGCTGACTTCCCTGACTCGTGTGTGACAGAGGTGTGGCAGGAGAAAGACCAGGGGGTGGGTGGCTGACTGGGAGGTGGATTAGGAAACGCCATCTGCATACCATAGAGATTATTCAGCCGATTATAAAACCAAAGCACACCCCTTCAGCAGTCAATACGGGCACCAGGTGGTTTTCATGAGGGAAGGGAGGGGAAAGTCAACACTGGGGGAGGGGAAGGAGGAGAGATTTGCACAGATGCAGGGCAGTGCCGAACTCTGGCCTCCTCTCCCAGGCCAGGGGGACGGGCAGCAGGCAGGGGCTGAAGGGGCCATTTTCTCACGATCTCAGGGAGATGGAAGCAGTAGCTGTGTGCTCTGGTTTTCAAGTTCACTTGCAGGGACACTGAATGGAGGAGGGGCATTGTCCTTATGCTCTGGTACAGCAAAGCATCTCTCTTGCATGTGAGGATAGCAGAAAGGGGAGCTCCATGATGGTCCCTGCTCCTTTGGTGTCATGGAAACAGCGCCCCGGGCAAGAATACCCACGTATTCCCAGAGGGCAGTCTGAGAACCCAGGAGTCTCCCTCCAAGACTGGAATGCCAGGGGGACTTGGGAGGGGCTAGAGGGCCTGCATCGTGTAGGTGGAGGCAGGAGCCACTGAAGTTCCCGAGCCACCTGCTTCTTTCGCTGGGTAGGGACCCACAGCCCATTGAGCCCTGGGAACACTAAGCTTTGGGAGCTGATGCTACAAAATGCCAGGTAAAGCAATGGAGCATTTCAATATCCACCTTTTAAACAAATTCCTCGCCTCTTTTAATTTCATAGAGGTTTTCTGAGTCTATAGTTACCTTGGTCCAAGGGTAAGCACATTTTTAAAAATTTTTTTAAATTTTGTTTCATGTTTATTTTTGAGGAAGAAAAAGAGGGAGACAGAGGGCAAGCTTGGGAGGGGCAGAGAGAGAGAGAGGGAGACACAGAATTTGAAGCAGGCTCCAGGCTCTGGCTGTCAGCACAGAGCCCAACGTAGGGCTCGAACTCGCGGACTGTGAGATCGTGACCCGAGCTGATGTTGGACACTCAACCGCCTGAGCCACCCAGGCGCCCCGAGCACATTTTTTTTTTTCCTGTAAAGAGCCAGATAGTAAATATTTGCAGATTTGTGGGTTATATAATCTCCGTTACTACTGCTCAACTCTGCCCCTGGGGCATGGAGGCAGCGGCAGACACTACATCAGCTCATGAATGGGATCCTGTTCTAATGAAATTTGGTCGGTGGGCACTGAAACTGCAATTTTATATAATTTTTTACAAGTCACAAAATAGCCTTCTTTTAATTATGTCACTAATCCAAAAATGTAAAAAGCATTTTTAGCTTGACGAGTGGAGAGACAGACTGTGGCCATAAAACGATTTAATCCCTATGGCGGTGGGAACTGGCTCACGGCCGGGTCCCCAGTGTCTAGCACAGCCTCTGAGGTAGAGTAGGTGCTCAATAAATTTCTGTTGGAGGAAATGTACATACTTTACGTACAAGGAAACTACCGCTCAAACAGGTTAATCGACTCTCTCAAGTGCGGGGCTAGTACTCAAACTTGCATGGTGTTTGGACGGTTGCAGAGTTGGGTGGGTAGTAGTTCTTCCAAATCCTGTGCTCCTTCTACTGAATCACAGCTTTAATCTTTGCAAAAAAAAAAAAAAAAAATCAGCACATGGAAGTTCACAGAGGTTGGAACTGGAAACTACCTGAGGCGTAAACTAACCAACACGAGAGATCTTGTAGTGTCACTTTTCAACATGGCCGAGTTGTAGAAACTTGACTTTAATTCCTCAGCTGTTTTCTTTTTTTAAAGTCTAGGGCCCGTGCCATGGCCAGTCTACCTTGGACAATGGCTGTGAAGAAAAACGTTAGGGGCTTTGCAAATATTAAGAAGTCCCCTTGAGGCCTGAATCATATGTAAGTTCTTCAGATTGGGCATTTTCTCAGAATCACAATTTTGTTGGTGTTGTTTTAAAATTTTTTTAATGTTTATTTTTGAGACAGAAAGAGACAGAGCGTGAGCAGGGGAGGGGCAGACAGAGGCAGACACAGAATTTGAAACAGGCTCCAGGCTCTGAGTTGTCAGCAGAGTCCAACGCAGGGCTCGAACTCACAGGCTGAGATGACCTGAGCTGAAGTCGGATGCTTAACCCACTGAGCCACCCAGGGGCTCCTTTGTGGTGTTGTTTTAAACAATGGCTCTGTGTAAGCATGGTGGGGGGAGGCTACAAAACCTATAAAAATCCAGTTCCCTGGTGGAAAAACTGGTTCTTCAAAGTTAGCCTAAGTCAGCCTGTATCCCCACCTGTATCGACTCCTACACTGTTTCGACTTAAGTCTCAGTCTTAATTACTACACTTCTTTTTTTCTCACTCCCATGACTCACTCCCACACTCCATTCTCACTTGGCCTCAAGCCTGCCGGCTCTTCAGGGCGTGTGGTTAACCACAAACCACCCAGCATTCCAGGATGCAGGTTGGGACACACTCTCCTGTCTTAGAACCCGCACCCATGTTTTGCCCTCAGCCGCTGGTTTGGGTGGACTCATATACTGCAGGCTCTGCTGAGGCCTTGGCCATGGGCTGGGCACCACTGTGGTGCCTCCCTTGGGTGCTGCCCTGATAACCAGCAGCAGCAGAAATGGAAACTGGAGTGAAAAGCTCTTGCGCAGCCCAAGGGAGCGGTGTCTCAGGACGGGCAGTTGACCGCATTTCCCGAGGACTCTCCTTCAGAGGCCTCGTATCTGACCGGTTATGATGGTTCTCGTACTAGGAAGTATAATTAATGTCAACTTAAGACCCCTCCCCCATTTTTTTTTTTAAATGAAAGCAATATACAATCCGTGTGGAAAGTTTGAAAATATTGATGAGCACAATGAAAATAAAAATCCACCTATAATCATTGTACTCAGAGATAACCGCTATTAAATACTTTGTGTATTCATAATTTTCCAAACATACCGCAGTGCTGTTTTGTCACTGGATTTATATTCTGTCACCTGATAATACAACATGAACACATTTCCATGTCGTTAGGCATCTTTTTATAATATGATTTTTTATTGTTATATTGGATTCCATGATAAATGTGGCACAGTATATTTCATAAACACTGACTGTTCAACATTGAGGTTTTTTCTGGTCTTTCATGCCGAGATGAACATCCTTAATTATAAATGCTTTTATGCATCTCTCACTGCTTCCTTAGGATTTATTTCTATAAGTGGAATTAATTAGGTCAAAGGCTGTGCACATTTTTAAAGGCCAGATTGCCTTCTAGAGATGATCCAATTTTTGCTCCTACCAGTAGTGCAAAAAGTCTGTGTTCCCCAATGCTTGCCAACATATTTCGGATATTTAATAACTTTTCATTTCATTGGTGGAAAACAGTATTTCGTTATTGTTTTATTTTCTTAGATAGACAACTGAATTTGTCAGTGTGCTTTTCAGCTATTTGAACGCAAGTAGGACTCCTCTTGGAAGGTGAAAATATGCTCTGGTACCCAGCAGCAGGGGTTATTTGAATAAAGTAACATTGAGTGGACGCACAGCATATGAATGAGAAGCAAAGGGAGAAAGAGGGAGAGGGTGATGACCTTCTAGAAGAGTCTCTTGTTATTTAAAGAGGTTAGTGATGTTCTCATTTCTTTTTTTTCTTTCTTTTTTTGTTTTTAATCTGAGCAGTTTGTTTGTTTCTGAGCAGGTAATATACTCACATAGTAATTCAAAAGATACAGACGGGCACACAGTGAAAATTCCTTCCATCTGCGCCCTCAGCCAACAACGTTCCCCCTCCCTGGAGACAATTATATTAACAGTTTTTATGGAGCTCACAACAGCCTTAGTCCCTGGACCAATAGCAAAATAATCACTGGGGAACTTGTTAGAAATACAAATTCTCAGACTCCACCCCAAACTTTCAGAAAGTTGTGAGGGGAGGTCCAGAAATCTGTGTTTTTAATAAGCCCTCTTGGTGATTCTGGTCACGCTGAAGCTTGTGAACTACTACTCTAGATATACTCTATGCATATATATACAAATATACATCAATTCCCCCCCCCCTTTTTACATGTGTTTTACATTAATATTTTTGGAGATCACAGTCCCCTTTAAAATATTTGTAATGGCACATACAGTGTTGAAAGTTTTGCAAATACTTTTAGGGAGTTCACAGTCCTTTCATGGACTTGATATTGAGGACTTTTTTTTTTTTTTAATGTTTATTTATTTTTGAGAGAGACAGAGCATTAGAGGCAGAGGGGGCAGAGAGAGAAGGACACACAGAATCTGAAGCAGCTCCAGGCTCTGAGCTGTCAGCACAGAGCCCCATGTGGGGCTCGAACTCACCGAGTGAGAGATCATGACCTGAGCCGAAGTCAGCGGCTTAACTCGCTGAGCGCCCCAATATTGAGGACTTCTATTGAGTAGGGGGAGGTGCAAGTGAAGCAAGAGATAAGGTGTATTCGGAGAAATGGTGCATTCTTCCAAGGGAGGGTCAGGTTTAACAGTAAAGAATGGAGTGAGCAAAACAGGTTTAGAGTAAAGGCACTTTTTTTTAAGTGAAATTTACATATATTCAATGAGCTATTCTAAAGCATACAACTCAGTGGCATTTATTGCAGCTACGGTGTGGTGCATCCCACCGCCTCCCTCTAGGTGTGAGGGGAACTTTGTCCACTTTGAAGTCCAGTTTCCTTGAGAGGAGAGTATTCGAGACAGCCAAAGGTGGAGTATGAGGCGGGGCACGAGAGGAGTGGAAGGAAGCAGGTGAGCGCAGGGATGGTACCTTGAGGCAGGGAGGTGATAAGGCAGTCAGGGAATCTGGGGTGATGGAAGCCCAAAGGAGATGCACACGGCAGGCTGGTGAGGTGGGGGCCGGGACGAATTGCTGCTGGAACTCGTGGATAGGTGGGGAGAAGGACCAGGTTAACTGAGAGCCAAAGGCACAGGCAGCCCACTGCAGCACTAAGGAACATGTGCACACATACCTTGCGGAGGTTCAATGGTCTTACTCCAGCATTCCCAATGAGGTGGTTAGTGTGGCAGCCGTCCTGTCCTCCCAGGACTCAGTTTCAAGCTAGAACAAAGGGAGCAGAAAGGCACTATTCTTTCCCACACCTCTCTATGCCGCGGGAGCCCCAGAAGCTCCATGACCGATTACTCCTTACATCCCATTGGCCAGAACTGGGTCACATGCCTATCCTTAGACCAATCGCCATTCATTCCCAAAGCCCAGCCCATTGTCTCTTGGACAAAGCCCACGATCTGTTAGCGAGGGAAGACAGGTGAATGGCTGTTGCAGGGGTAACCAGCTGCGTCTGAGTCAGATCTCTGGGGTCCCTCCTAGCTTAATTCAGTGGGTTGAGGGGAGAAGAACGGGAATTTACCATGTAACAGGGGAGATGAGACCAAAAGGAAATATACACGAGGATATAGATAACAAAGACTAGGAAAGCAGAGGCAACCAATGGACAAAGACAGTGAAGTCCAGTGGAGTCAGTGTGGCATGGGAGTTTGAATAATCTTTATTTATTAAAATGTTTAATAATATTTATTGAGTTGTGTGACCTTGGACAAGTCTGTTAACCTAAGTTCATCTTCTCATATGAAAAGGGGACTGACTATAAGATTTCACTCTTAGATATTAATGTTGCAGTGAGGTGCAGTGAGAGGGCATTTGGCCAAGAGAACCAAGTATATCAATGAGGTAGACATATGTCATACCTTTTTGATCATTTAATTCTTTGTGGAGTGCACACCCCATCTTCTTGCCACAGGAGAAGATCAGATACTTGCTTTCCCAGCCTCCCTTGCTGCCAGGGGGCCAGCATATGAGCCTGGTTTATTTAGTGGGACACACTCCCACTAAACTTGATTATGTAAGGAGCAGGTGCTATGTGAACCCATTTCAGTGAGAGTGGCAGCTGATTGGTCCATTTCCTAGATGGTGTGGACGAGATTCCCAGGGCAGTGTCCATGGCCCTAGCTGGGGATGTTGGGGGGGGCGGGGGTGAGCTGGAGTGTCTGAACACAGGAGTGGCAAAAATGGTGTCTCCCTGGGACCACTTTTGTGGTGTGATTTAGGGTGTTATTCTAGCTGTTTCTAGGCTTGTTTCTTTAGCCCTCTCAGAGAGTCTGTGAACTACCTAACATTCTTCAATAAATATCTTTTCTACTTAAATTAGCCAGTTTGGATTTCTGTTATGCAACTGAGAGCCATGACTTCTTCAGTCACCTTTCCCAGTGAAAACAAGAAAGTGGGGTACCAGCCATTTTCCAAGGAGATCGAGCTTCAGGCCAAGACTGACTTCTTCTTCTTTTTTTTTAATGTTTATTTACTTTTGAGAGAGAGAGTGTGTGTGTGTGAACAGGGGAGTGACAGAGAGAGAGGGAGAGAGAATCAGAAGCAGGATCCAGGCTCTGAACTGTCTACACAGAGCCCAATGCCCGGCTTGAACTCACGGACTGCAAGATCATGACCTGAGCTGAAGTTGAATGTTTAAATGACTGACTGAGTCTCCCAGGCGCCCCCAGGAATGACTTCTTGACCAAAGCAAGTCGAACCGGGAGAAAGTAAGAAAAGGAGGAGAGCTGGATCTGGCTTTTTTTAATTTTTTCTTTCCCAATTTGGACTTAAGAAACAGAAGAAAATGCCACTTATTCTGATATTCTGAGACTTGTAACCAGGCAGAGTGGCTCTTCCCACTAATAGACTAACACAGTGGCCGATAAAACACCCTCTGGGAGAGCAGCACTCCTCTGAAGGCAGAGAGTGACCCTACCTCTCCATGAAAAGGACACTCATGTTCCCTCAGAGACCAACATTCACCTGCAGGGTTGGCTTGGGGCTGTAATCGATGCAATACACTTGGCCATCTGTAGGTCCTGATTAAAAAAAATACGTATTGAGTGCCTGCCATGTGCCACCCACTGCTCTAGGTACTGGGCATACAGTGAACAAGGTGGACGAAAATCCTGCCTTCCTGGAGCTTACGACCTAGTGGGAGAAGACTATAAACACATAAATAAAAAGTAAGTTATGTCCAAAGGTAGAGTGTTCTGTGGGGAAAAATAAAGCAGGGACAAGAGCTAGGGAATACTGGGGGGCTGGGATTGGGGAAAGCATACATTTGGTTACCATGTCCAAGAAGGCTTCCCTAAGACGGGGGCATGAAGGTAGCGAGGGGCTTGGTAAGAGATCAGTTATTACTAAGGGGGTGTTTATGATGCTGTGCATTCCAACCCTCCCCTTCTCCCCACTGAAAATACCTGTCAGACACAACCTAATTGTGGGGACTTTAGGCGAAACACGGGAAGGAAATTCCAGGCCATTGTGAGTGCCTCATGCTCTGGTGGGTAGAGGTTAAGAGCTTCCTCGGGTGCCCTGGGCCACCAAGCTGAGAGGGGTCAGCTGGACAGGGCTTCCCCAAGGAAATGACTTCCGAAAATAGGAATGACAATCCCCCAGTCCCGTCCAGTTGGCAGGCAAAACCCTGTTGATAGGCTCTGGGGCTTTACTGAAGGCAGATACCCTTCCTGATGAGAGAGGAAGACTCATCTTTGCATCAGTCTTTCTGCCCCAAGCAGTAAATCTACACGTGGCCCTGAGAAAATGTACCCAGTCTTAAAACAACAAACAAACAAACAATTAAAACAAATTAAATACAAATACAAACAAACAAAGCCCCACTCTGGATTCTCCATCTGGAATTCTGATTCCCTCAGAGTCCTTACAAGCCAGGCTGGGCCTTTTACTTCCTTTCCAACCAAACTCCTCTTTTTAATACAACAACCCTGGGCTATAATAGCCCGCTCATATTCATCCACCGCTCCCCGCCCCCCCCCCCCCCCCCCCCCCCCGCAACCTCTTCCCCAAGCTCTCATTATCACTATGATTCCTAAGAGACCACGAAACTATAAGGGAGAAGCACAGTAGATTTCCCCGGGATGCCGATGGAAGGGAATAAAGAGAATTGCGGGGTTATTGGGGCCTTGCAGCCTTTTATTACTAAGGGATTCTGTATTCTGTGCCTTAGAAACTCTATATCGTAGGCTTTTGTTGCTGTCAGGAGTGATGCTTTTTACACACCACTGTGCACGGAAACACGGTCTGACCTATGGTATAACAAATCCAAAGTACCAAGCAGCGATTTGTAATAAGATTTTAATGTATTTTCTCTCATTATCCAAGAGGAACCTTCCCCATGAGTACTCGCTCTCCTCGGAGTCTGTGATGGGGGTCAGAGAGATTGCAAAAAAAGAATACACCCCTGGATATGTCTTTTACTACATTCCAGAGACTAATTTAATGTCTTCCCTGCCAAAGTTCTTAATTTCTTTGCCTTGCACATGGTTATTGCCGGGGGGACTATGTGGCTTTCGAGAGCCTTTTGAAAGGAATAAAAATTGAGATGCAAATAGGTGTGATGCATCTTTTTTGCTTTGCAAAATTCCTATATGCAATCTAACCCAGTCCTGCAAAGCAGCAAGATCTAAAGAATTTGGATTTAATGCCTCAAAAACAATAGGTGGCAGGTATGGGAAATGAGTAAGTATTAAACCCATGTCTCTCCAATCTTAGACTATATATATTTCTTGGGTACTGATACCCATAAGCAGTAGAAGTCATATTCAGCTAGTAAGTTGAAAAAAATATCCATGCATCCACGCACAAATATTTACTGACTATCTAAGAATGTAGAAAGACTGTGCTGACCACTGGCTCGTAATTGGTGTCCTCAAGGAGCTTGACATTTTGGTGGGAGCAGCAGGCAGACAACCAACAGAATGAAGTAAGGGCAAAATAGAGGAGGAAGAAGTGTGGGAACCTTTTAATTATTTTTTTTCTTTTTTCTTTTTTTAAATTTATTTATTTATTTTGAGAGAGACAGACAGTATGAGCAGGGAAGGGGCAAAGAGAGAGGGCAGAGAGAGAATCCCAAGCAGGTTCTGTGCTGCCAGCACAGAACCAGATGTGGGACTTGAAGTCATGAAACAGATCATGATCTGAGCTAAAAACCAAGAGTCAGATACTCAACCAACTGAGCCACCAAGGTATCCCGGGGGAATTTTAATAAGCAAAAATGTTCCTTTCTTGATTTTCCTTGTCAGTAGATAATGGCTGTCAAAGGGATATTATGCCCGTCCCATCCCAGAGTCAGAGCACATTAGTGGGCCATGTGTTGGGTACCAGCTATGTGCCACGCATGTGCTACAGTGTTTATATACGCTCTCTCATTCGATTGTCACATCGATTGTAGGAAGCGAGTACTATTGTTAACTTCATTTTACAGATGAGGAAACCGAGACTCAGAGAAATTAAGTAATTTGCCCAGGATCACATGACTGTGTATTGCAGAAGCGATATTTACAACTGGGTCCAAGACCAAGTTCTGAGGATTAGCCGTTGGTGGTCTAATTCTTCATCATTGCAAACATAGTCACAGTAAAGAGCGGTGGATAACAATCTGTAGTTCAAACACTACTGATGAATGTTGTTGGTCTCTGGAACTGCCCAGAATAGGTGTCCTAAGCCAGGGGCTGAGGACCTGAGGACTAGAAACAACTGTAACGGACGGGAGCAATGTGTCTATTCAGTACTCTCACTTGAAATATAATGACTCTTTAGACTTTGATATTTACTGCCGTGTTTTTGTGTTTCTTGGGGGAAAGCAAAGGTGAGCCGTTTTGTAGTAATTCCTCTAAGTCTTCAGACTCTGGCAGCCCAAGAAAAAGCAAGGAGAAGAGACCACACCTTCTGCATGATGAACTCATAAACTATGAGCTCAGCTACCTGCATCGTTCTCTTAAAGGCACAGCTGCAGGATAGCTTGAGCTGCATTGGTTTGGAAACCCTCAAAAGTGGGCCAAGACCTTCAGTCTGGTTTTGGAATGGGTGTTATTCCTAACCCCCTTCTGCAGGGAGAGGGCAGGTCATGAAGACCGCAGTTGCAGGCTTTGGACAGATGAACCAACCAAGATGGCGGCACTGCCAGTCATGGGCAGAAGGCATGGAGTGACCCTGCCCTCCTGCCTCCTGGGCCCTCCTGTTGTGCACCCTCTTTCCCAGGCTCAAAGATGTGTCCTGTGCTGAGATGAAAATTGCAATATAGTTTGGCTTAGTTGTCACTGTGGCAACACATAAAAGACAAACTGCAGTAAAGGCAGCAAGTGAGGCCTAGAAAAATCTGATGATATAAATTAATTTGAGAGCTTCCAGTAAATCCTGTCTCATAGGGCTAATGTCATACCTTCTGGTCAGTCCCCTGCTCTCAGCAGGGAAAAGGACCTTCTGGCTTGCCATTTCCTGTCTCTAGTCTTACTCTGTGTTTTCCCAGTTCCTGGTAAAGTGCCTGCCACATAATAGGAATTTAGTTAATGGCAAATCCATCCAGAAGGAGGCATTGGGGGAGGCTTTGCGTAGGATGGAGCATGTCCTAGAGAAGGGAGGAACTGCTGGACGGGACCTTAGATGCACCCCAAATCCTACCATGGTGTCAGGCCTCAGGGGAGGCCCAATGTGGGCTCAGAATGTTTTGGAGCTGGAGTCTGCAAGGACTTCATGCTGAGGTAGAGAAATTCTACAGCTAGATCCGGAGGGACGGAGGTAAGAACCTCCTTCTAAAATCAGAGTGGAAGGAGTACAATCTGAAGAGATGGCTGATATTTTTCACTGAAAACTAAAATGGTGTATATTGAGGACCCAATCCAGCAATGCTGGAGATTGAACTTAAGGGCTAGGGCAGAAAGAAGCTGGCCTTAAAAGAATAGTATCAGGC